GTCCTAGGTTCTATAAGAAAGCAGGCTGAGCAAGCCATGAGGAGCAAGCCAGGAAGCAGCATCCCTCCATGGTTTCTGCTTCAGTTCCTGCCTCCAGAAACCTGCTTTGAGTTCCTACCCTGATTCTTTCAGTGTGGACTGTGACATGGCCATGTAAGCTGAGATAAACTCCTTCTTCCTCAAGTGTATCAGCACTGCAATAGAAACCCTAAGGCCAAATGAAGCTGCCCTGCCTGGCTGAGTGTCCAGGGCAGTCACATAATCTCCAGAGCCCTGCATCCTCCGCTTCCAAAACAGACCCCATCCCAGAGGGCTGCTGGGGACCAAGGAGATGTCCTCCAGACCACCACAAGGTGGTGTAGCACTGTGTAGCACTGCACTCCTGTGTGAGCAGATGATGGAGCTAGCAAGTCCAGTAAACCCTGACCCTCAGATCTGTCTCCACTCAGCTGTAAGCTGCCCCCCAGACAGGGACTGCTGTAGGAAACACAGTATGTGGTACCCAGAGAGCAGGTAGCTCTTGTACAAGGCCACACAGCTGAGACTGTGGTTACAGGGTTTGCATGATGCCTAATGCCTATGTGGGATCTACTGGCAGGCAACTAGGCCTATGAGACAATAGTGAGACAGGAGGCCCTGCTGCCAGCCTGCAGGTGGCACTAGCTGAGACCTGCCCATGCCCTGTCTGAGATCAGACGATCAGCACCTAGCCCAGGAGAAATTCTGGTGATTGAAGGTCCCTCCCAGGTCAGAGTCTAAATACCACCAACTAGATCAGACAGACTGCTTAGTTCACAGGATTTAGGATGATTCTTACAGAAAACCATGAGAAGGAGGGAAGCCATCAAAGGCTCTCCTCTGTTATATTTCTCTCTGGCCCTCCATGATGAGCTGACTCTAACAGCCAATGGACCTAGCATGGGGCTGCTGCTCTCCAGGAAGACAGGAGGGGTCCTGGACCCCGGGGGCCACCCACCTGCACCAGGAGCAGTCCTTCACATCAAACCGCAGCAGGTCATTGAGCATCGTCTTTCTGGAAAGCAGGCAGAGAGAGTGTGGCAGTAGCCAGGCTACTTTGTGAAAATGTTACCTCACCAGGATCTTAGAGATGGGCAAGGGCATGCATCCAGGGTTGGAGGCAGTAGAAAGGAAGGGCTTGGTTCCTTGGCCTCTGGACTTGTCCAGAATCAGACAACCCATCAATGTCCAAAGGACAAAACTAGTGACTAGTGATATGGACAACCAGGGCTCCCACACTGACAGGACCAGCCTGATCCCCACCACCACCAGCACACTCAAGGCTGGTATGAGAGCATGAACCAGCCCAGAAGCTGAAGTCATCACTCCCACCTCACCCCTGCCTCCAGAATTCCTACACCTACATGTAACCCTCCTGAGGCTGCACTGTGATGAAATGCTGGCTCAAATATCAGTGGAGACCTGCATGCTTTGCAAGCTCCCTGCCACCTGACATAACAACTGCATTAACAACTGTCTACTGGGACAGCTTACATTACATGACTGGCATGCTACCAACTCTGGTTCATGTGGGAGAAGAGAAATGGACCTCAGACACTCCCTTCAGGTCAGGCCCTTGCAGGGTTTCCCTGCCTTGCTCAGGCTGTGCAAGGTGAGTACTCTCCCTGACTTCATTTTATGGGAGAGGAAGCATAGCCAAACAGCCAAGAAGGCAAAGGTTAGAATCTGGGATCATGCTCTTCCTCATTAAAACCCCTACTTAAATGTAGGGGCACTTACTAAAATAATGGGAGGCCACTGTTTTGAACTAAGTTCTTTTACTAGGGCCCCAAAGACTAGGGCAAACAAGGACAGTTACTGTGGTCAAAACCTAACAGTTTTCCCTGAAACCAGAGAGTGCAGTCTACCTGGTTCTGTGTGATGAGGAAGCCCCTGTGGTGGCTCTTTAGAACTCTAACCAGGCCCCATCCCAACCCGGGTTTCCTTGTTCCTGCCTTCCAATATGCAAAGTTGCTACTGCCCAGCAGAAAACCTTCTTCCCACTCTGTTGGATGGAGGCTGCCCTGGTCTATCTTAAGTCACAGGTAAGCAGATGCATAATTAATTTTCTTTTGAAACTGTATAACAAAAACACTTCTGCTTTTCACCACACAGCTGTCTAATTGCTCCAGAAAATACTAAGAACAGGGATCCTAAGTTCCCACCCACCACCCAGTGTTGGACAGCGGTCTTTTGTGGTGTGGGGAATTCTTACTAAGGCTCAAACTTTAACTCACTAAACACTGACTGTGACATCTGGACACTGGTACAGAGAAGTGAGATGAAAGATACCTTGGGAAAACAGGTCACCCTCAAAGGGGACAGAAAATGGGGCTGGTGAGAGAGGGCACAAAGGCCTCATCCATAAGGAACATTAGAAAGGAATTGAGAAGTCTGTGGGGAAGGAACAATGCAAAGGGCTGGGCAGCAGGGTATTTGGAACAATCCAAATGCAAGGTAGCCAGAGGGATGGCTGAGAATCATGAAAATACAAGTGTACAGACCTTCTGTGAGGACTAGACTTTATACAAAGAGGTGTTGGGATGTTATGGGGCTATGGCCTGAGGAGGAACACACTATTAACTTGCAGTTGTAAATGGATCCCCAGCTGCTCTTGAGAAAGGAACTATGGAGATGAGACAATGCCAGACGACCATGACCAAGTTTGCATTTCTTAATAGAGTCCTGAAAATATTACCTCCTAGATCAGCTACCCCAGGTAGTCTACAGGACCAAGGCTGCAGTCACCTTCCTGGGAATTAGGCAAGGTTCTGGGCCTGAGAGGAGGGAGTCATAGGCAAACACATAACCTCAGCTTAACTAAAGTCTGTGTATGGAGATGTGCTCACCGGAACTGCAGTTCATTTCAAGGAAGGCTATTTTCCAGGAAGTTAAAGCAACACAGGGAAATCTCCATCAGAAGCAAGGCATACACAGCAGCAGTAAAACTGATTTTGGAGGCAGTGAGATGGCTCAGCAAGTGAAGACACTTGCCACCAAATCTTGCAACCTGGGTTCAATCCCTGGTACCCGAATGGCAGGAGAAAGATGACTCCTGTAGGTTGTTGTCTGTTCTTTGTATGCAGCAACACACACATAAACAGATGCAACAACAACAAAACATGTTCTCTATACTTTTGGTTACAAAGCAAGCAAGTGGGCAAAGCCTAGAGGGAAGTGTAGAGAAAGACAGGGCTGTGTCTCCTCATTCAAAATAAGTATATTTCCATGGGCTGCCATTTGAATGCTGGGGTGAGAGAGCTTTCCGGGCAGGGTTTTCTCACCAAAACCTGGGAACCAGGTACAAGGCACCTAAGAGACAGGGAAACAGGTTCACAGGACATAGCTAATGACTCCCATTCTTAGGCAATAGACTGTCTTCACTGTCATCGCCCGCTGCCACCACTCCCACTAACAGGCAAACTCACCCGTTGTCTCCGCCAAACACATAGATGGCATCCTTATACGCCACGACTGTGTGCTTGCTGCGCCTAGAAAGAAAGAAGAGGTGATGGGCAGTAAGACTGGGGGGCTCACCTGGCTGCCACCCATGATGGCTGCCACATACGTTTGAGTAAAGCTTCTCCACTGTCAAGATCTACAGAGATCCTTCAATTCAATCAGACAGCAAGGACGCCTGACACACCGAGGACTCTCCAGACTCCCCATCCATACCTCCTCAGCTCCGAGACCCAAACTGGACCGTCTGGTACCCGGCTGGAAATCGACTACCCCCAGGACATCACACGGGGTATCGCCCCTTAGAGCCCATCCTGGGACCACCTCGGCTCTCGTCGCCACCCCCATCGCCTTCAGGATCCCCTGTACACTGTCGTACCGGGCGCCCACGAATTCGTCGCAAGGCGGGAGGCGCCGCCAGCGATGCACTGTTTCGAAGGGTCCAAAGTTGAGTGTCAGATACTCGACACTGTCTGAGCAGCTGTGGTCAAAGTCCACGCTCGGAGCCACCTTGGAGCGCAGCCCTCCTGCCAGGGCCCCGGACCCGATCTGGCCCCCCGAGCCTCCAGGCCCAGCCATCCTTGGTTCAGGCTGGATGGGCCGCCCGAGTTGCAGGGCTCACGGCCACCGCCCGGGCCGAGCAAAGGGACCACATTTCCCGAAGATCCCTGCGCCTACGATGTGGCACGTATGGCCAGCTTGCACGCTAGGCCCGCCTTCCCAACAAGCCTTGCGCTCTCCGCCACATGGCGGGCTGTCAAGGGTCCCGGCAGCGGGGCTCCTCACATTATCGTCCAGTGCTTCACATTTGAAAGTATTTCTGGCCACGAATCGGCTCAGGCTTTCCCTCCTGGGAAACGTGATCTGACCAGAGACTGCCTTATAGTCGGGCTTTGCCATCGCCCGGAAGCCACCACCCCCGGAACTCCAGAATGAGGTTTCCGGCTTGCTGCTTGCACCTTGTGTTTGCACCCCCAAACCTGGCCTTCAGTGCTCCCCTCTTCCCTTGGCGTCCTTATTGTCTGGAACTGGTTTCCCCGTTCCTGTTAATGAACAGGATCTTCATTTGTTTCTCCCCATTTCTGCGGTGGGCTTTGAACCCACGATGTGATGGGCAAGCACTGCATTAGGCTACACCACAAACCTTATTTTTACACTTAATTTTGAGGCCAGTTGAATTATTTCTTCACCCGTGAAATAAGGATTCAGAAAGTTCAGGCAAAAGGGACATGTGAAGTCATGAAGTGAAATCTTAAGCTAATTAGTTTTCTAGTTTCAACTTTTTTTTGTTTGTTTTCTTTTTGTGGTAAGTGCTTATAAAATAGTAAAAGTTAAGTCTTGAGCGACTTCATAATGGCTATCATAGCTGTGCAAAAGACCATTGAGATATATAGAATGAGTAAGTTTTTGAGTGGCTACTGTAATCCAGCTGAGTATTTTTATTTCTGAGAATATAAAAATGAGGTGATTTAATAACAGTAACAAAGCAGCTCAGATGGCTGAGGAGCAAGAAGTCTGCCTCAGGGCCTAGTTCCTATCTTTCTTAAGGGGGCAAATACAAAAGCTACCTCTGACTTCTGAAGTTTTTTAAAATCAAAACAAGATCTCATGTAGCTCAGTATGGATTCAAGCTCTGCTATCACAGGCATGTCACACCATACCTGGCTCTCCCTTGAGTGCTGGCCCAATTACACTGGGACACAAATCTGTAGATATATGTGTTTTAATTTTAAGGTAATGTTACAGGCTCATGCTTCGAAGACAGTCCTAAGAGAGGGAACAGGCAGAGCCTGCCCTGCCTCTAAAACCAGCTGTCAATGACAGCTGAGCCTTGAGACAACCATCTTCTGGAGAGAGCGGGAGCTTCTCCGGAGAGGAGGCAGACAGTTGAAGGCAAGCCTTGGGAGGACTCAGATTCCTGGGGTATCCTGGGAAATAGGAGGTTGGCACTTGGCCCCAGGACTTGGTCTCTGACCTTGGTGCCCAGAGGCCTGCCCAAGTTCACTACATGGGAGCTCAGGATCCTCTCCCTGTGAGCCAAGACATGTCACCGGTCCTGCAGGGACAACAAAGAGATTGATGGGTCAGGACAGAAGAGGTAGGTTCCCATCTTCAGGCACCATGAGCAAACTCTTGAAAACAGCAGCGGGGGACTGCTATGTGTCAAAGCCTGGTGCTCTGCAGGGGAGTGCATTTGGGCAGGGTAGGGGGATTCTATAATTGGGCTGGGGGAAGAAAAGGCTCAGAACAGTCAACAGGAAAGACAGAACACACGTACTTGCTGTGTAGCATAAACAGCCTTTGCGAAGGCAAGAGGGAAAAACAGAAGGCCAAAGAAAGCATGTCATTTTATCAGGTCTACTCTGAGTCTCATGCTGTTTCCACCCTATGTTTTTACCCTATCAGATAGCTTTCAGCCCCTCAGTCACCTATGGCTTGTCCCTAGCTCTTGGAAGTTCTCTATACATAGATCAAACTACAGGGGACTCTCATTGGCACTGTGCTGGGATACAGTAATAGCTAGTGTCCAGTGCCTCCCAGATGTCATATCTACCATATCTATGTATGGCATATCTGTGATCATCACTAGCTGTGTTTCCTCACCTAAGCTTAGCACAAATCACATTGGTCAGGTTCCCAAGCTGGGTTCACTCAAGTAATGGGCTTTGCCTCCATCCCATAGCACTGGTTCCTCTCTGGGGCACACCCCTGTGTCCCTTCTGCTCCTGTAGTCACATCTTGTCAGCTTCGAAATCTAAATTCATCCCCCATCCTATCCAGGAGCTATAGGAACTAAAAGGGAGGGGAAGAACTCCACAGGACTGTGGGGGCAACAGGCTGCCAGGGTAGCTTGAGTAGGTCCTACCCAGGACACTCCCTCCCCCAAGACCTCCCACATCTGCACTCACTCCACTTCTCGCTTCCGGATGGCTCGACCTGAGGCCAGTACCTCAGCCACCTTGGATACGATGGGATCATAGTTCATGCTGGCCACAGCAATTACTTCATCACCTCTATAGAGAGAAGGAACTTGAGCCTGAGGACCACTAGCAATGGTCCTTCCTGGAGATCACAACACCATTCTGTCTACCTGGGGTGCTGGGAAGCTCTTGTCCAGAAAAACAGGATGTCCTGAGCACCCAGCCCTCCAATGGTCCCAGCATTGCCAGCTGGCCTAAGAAGCTCCCACCCTTGGCATGGTGCAGGGATTGGCCTGGCCTCACCATTGCCTTTCCTCTACCAATATGCCTCTCCTAGTTGTAGACATCTACCTTGGTTTCAACACTTACCTGAAAGAAATCAGAAGACAGAAGACAAAGTATTGTTTGATGGTGGAGAGACCATTACTGCCTCTTCATCTTTGCGATGCCACCTGCCCAATTACCCATCTTTGCCATTCACTTTCCTTTATCTAACTTTACTCCCCCCCACCCCGGCTTGGCTACTACTGACCATTCATTCCCAATGCACCCCATTTCTCTCACTTGGTGTAAAAAGCCACAAACTTCAGCTCCTCCAGATCCCCCTGAATGATGACATCATCGAAGCCTTCTCCATAGCCTGTGGGAGGGTGCCCATGTGAATTGGAGGAGGGACAGTCTTCGCAGGCTCCCTAGTATGCCCATCTAACTGTGTCTCAACACCCTCCCTTCTATCTCTGCCTTCGTTTTTCCAGACAGGGTTTCTCTGTGCAGCCCTGGCTGTCCTGGAACCTCTGTAGCCCAGGTTGGCCTCAAACTCAGAGATCTGTCTGCCTTGGCCTAAGACATTTGCCACCATTGTCTGGCTCCTACTTGTGCACGCGCGCGCGCGTGCGCGCGCGCGTGTGTGTGTGTGTGTGTGTGTGTGTACAACTTGCAGAAATTGATCTCTCCTTCTACTATGCAGGTCCTGGGAATCAAATTCAGATCATGAGCATGTCAGCAGAGCCCTACCCACTGAGCCACCCCTCTTCTCCTGAACAGTTTCCAGCCCACCCCCTAAGTCTCAACATTTAGCCCAAATTAGCCCCCAATTCCTGATCTTGCCCTTTCAGCCTTCAGACTGCTGGGATCATGGTACACAACCACACCTGCACCAAGCCAGCTTGTTTGCCAATTCTTAGTTCATACTGGATGCAACCCCCATACCTAATCCCAAAGTGCCTTCAAACCCTACCCTCTAACTTCTGTAGGCCAAATCCCCCATCCCCATGACAGGCTTTTAGTTACCCGCATATCGGAGGCTCTTGCCAAACATGGCAGTCCACAGATAGGGTACTGTGTTGATCTCTGCCTCCTGTGCCAGCATATTCTGAGCTGCTACCCGCCCTGAAAGACCCAGGGTGGTTAGGACCCATCCCTTCACCTCACCACCCCAACACTGCCTGCCCTCAGCCCATTCTGGGGACCCTGACAGATACTGTTGGTGTTTAGGACTCCCCCAGAAGGCATCATGTTCAGCTCATAGCCCACCTTTGGATGCCGTTAACTGGTACAGAGAGAACAATCACTTGGCCCCAGAGATCCACCTACATTGCTCCTCTTTGATCTGCTGTTCATCTGAAAGGTCTACTGGGGTTGTGAACTACATCACAATTGTGTACACAGATAATCAGACACCAGATAGAAAGAGGGATGGCACTAGAGCACAAAGGCCACAAGGAAAGATGACAGCCCATGCAGGCCTGCAGGGTTAGCACAGGTGGCTTTCCACTTGTGAAGGCTCCACCCGAACCCATGGCTAGATGCATTTAAAGAAGCTCTGGTCAGTCCTAAGCCCTAATTATATTTGATCAAGGAGTAGCCTTTGGTTCCTTACTCTCCAGCAGCAGATACTGGAATTGGGAGATACCATTATTATCAGCCCTCAGATAATGGTGAAGGAAGAATAAAGGGAAGGTAGATGTATGGGGGAAGTCCCTTGTCCAAGACTAGCAATGCAGAGGTCCTTTACAAGGCCCTGGAGTGGTTAACAAGCTGCTACCTGCATCTTAGGGACTGAGACAAGTTGTACATAGTCCATGAGACTCAGGAAACCTGGTGGCTACCAAATGTTGGGGGAGACAATTCCACAAAAAGCAATAACACAACTGAGTCTGGGCTATGTAGCTGTCTACAGGGTTTCATAAAGCAACTGCGCTCACAGAGATATAGTGGTGGAAGAGAGACAGGCCCTGAGTAAGAAGCTAGCCTACTAAATAAACCCTTTCTCCCCCTCTGTGGTGGTCTCTGGTCAAGGAAGAATGGAGAGGATAGTGAAATGACAATTGGGACTGGAAAGAGGTTTGCCCAGCTTAATGGCATAAAGGGGGTCTCTGGAGATGGGCCACTCTGTACATTGATTATCACTGGATGAGGCTCACCGAAAAAGCCATCACCTAGACCCCAGACCAGCAAGTGGTGAATGGGCAAGGTGTCTGAGACCCTGGGATGACTTCCCAACCCTTAACTTGCCTCAGGGATAACCATACCCTGGGCATGAGCCATCTGCCAGTGTGGGATGTTCACTTTCCGATTGTTCCTCCAGGCAAGAGGAAAGGTGACGGCATCACCAGCAGCAAACACGCCTGGGATGTTGGTCTGCATCATCTGTTGGGAGAGGACCAGGGTTCTGTGGGGGGTGTAGGGGGCTGGCATGGACCTCCAGCCATGCTCCACCCAGCATCCTGCCCACTTCATTCAGCCCCACCTTGTTGACTGGGATGAAACCTCGGGAATCCAGGCCAATGCCACTCTGCCTCAGGAAGCCTGTGGCAGGCACGGCACCTAACAGGACAGAAGCCATGCATCTTCACTCTGGTCCCACCCCACCTTCCTCCTGCCTCATCTTTCTCCATCCTGCTGCACCTGCCTGCCCCAGATTAATCACCCACAGGCTACCCACCTCGGGTCTTCATGAATGCTACCTTCTGTGCCCCCATGTGCAGGCTGTGCTCCCCATTTAACCCCAGGAGCTGTCTGTCCCAGTGTGTGCTATAGAACTCTCCTGATGGGGGTCCACAAGTCATGCTTCTCCAACCCCCTGCTGCCATCTTCCAGAGAGGCTCCTCCCCAAACTACTATGTTAGCTGGTATAGGAACCAGTCAGAGGCTATGTATCAGTTGGTAGCAGTCACCTGCTCTGTGACAGGCCTGTGCTAAGCCAAGTACACACCTTTTCCGATGATCCTGGGAAATGGGTACCATTGGGGTTCTATTTTACAGATATGGAAACTGAGGCCCAAAGAAGGATCCAAGGTCACTTGAGAGTATGCATGGACAGCTCTGTTCACTAGCGCCTGCTTGTCTACCTACTCACCAATGCCAACCACACAGACATCTGCCCGAAGAACCTTGCTGCTCTTCAGTACCACCTCCTGCAGCTGGGGAGGGGGGCAATGCATGAGCAAATTCACACATTTCCTGATCACAGGAGGAAATGCAGACAGCAGAAACAGAGAGGAGCCCACCTTGCCCTCCTGAGCCCGCAGCTCCAGCACCTCTGTCTGCATATAGAACTTCACACGGTTGTTTTCAAACATCTGTACAAGCAAGCAGGCACAGTGCTATGGTCTACCTAGGCTAGTCCATCAGGATGTCCATAGGCCAGGCATTGGAACAGGCTCACCTTCATAAGGGCACGCCCTACACGTTCCCCCAGGAACCTCCGGAAGGGTGTCTCCTCCAGCTCCACCACAGACACTGAGTGGGCCTTCTCGGTTAGATAGGCAGCCACCTCCATCCCTGGGTGGTGGGCAGGGGTGGCAAGGATGACACTGACACCCAGAGCCAGAACACTCTGGGGACTGGCCATGGTGGCTAACCACCACACACATCCCCTGAAGCTACTCACCCAGAAAGCCTGCTCCCACAACAACAGCACTGCGGCCTCGGGCCAGCCGTAGCACATGATTGGCATCCTCAGGTGTACGGATGGTGAACACATTCTCCACGTCTTTGCCTTTGCAGTTCAGGGTCTTAGGGCTAAGATCCAGTGTTATTAGTGAAGGCCTCCCATCCTGACAGATGACCAGCTACCTAGTGTCTGGTAAAGGCAGGGGACATACACCTACCTGCTTCCTGGTGCCAGCAACAGCTTGCTGTACTCCAGCTTGAAGCCATCCTTGAACACAGCCTTCTTGTTCCTCACATCCACTGTGACCACCTAGAACCCCCGTAGGCAGCGTGAGCCCTTGGCACAGGCTTAGGCCTAGTTGCTCACTTCTGAGTTCCACAAGACCCCCAGAACCCAGAAGTTAGGCTCCTGTGCAGCAAACTCACGGCAGTATTTACATTTCCAAGTCCCACCAGGCTCTCTTGTCTAAGCTGGGATTATGCCATCTTCTCCCTTACTACTCTGCCAGGAAGAAGGCTCAGTCCTGGGTCCCAGGTCAGCACACAAGGGCTGAGCAACCACCACATCCCAGGGATACACATGGCCTCATGTCATTTCTGGTCCCTTGAAGCTTTTTTCTTCTTCTTTTTTGTTTGTTTTTCCAAGACAGGGTTCCTCTGTGTAGTCCTGGCTGTCCTGGAACTCACTCTGTAGGCCAGGCTGTCCAGGAACTCAAAGAGATCCACCTGCCTCTGCATCCCGAGTGCTGGGATTAAAGGCATGCACCAAGCTTTTTCTTTGCCTGTTTCCACCCTTCCCCTCGTACCTGGGCTTCAGTGAGCATCTCGATGCCATAGGCCCGGAAGAACTCCTTAGGCCTTAGGGCCAGCTGTTCTGCTTGTGCATCCAGGGACTGAGGAACATGGGTCATGAGTCAAATCCAGGTGGTGAGATGGTGGTTATCTTTTTTTTTTTTTTTTTTTTTGAGACAGGGTCTCAGTTTGTAGCTCTAGCTGGCCTGGAACCAGCTATGAAGATCAAACTCAGAGATGAACCTGCTTCTGCCTACCAAGTGCTAAGATGAAAGGTATGTTCCCTTTTACTGAAGAGGACACAGAACCCAGGGAAGGTGGGACCACTCTGGGTCACATGGGGATCACAGGACAGAACTCAACAAACCCAGATCTCTTGGGACCACCACAAACTAGCCTGGGAGACTGGAGAAAACGGTTAGCTAGACCTCTAATTTGTGACAGGCAAGGCTCCACAAGGATGTGACAGGGACCTGGAGAAATGGGGACCCAGGTGCTGCCCTCTTCCCACCTTGCTGAGTTTGGCCCGGTCATAGGGCAGATGTCGATCCAGTGTGCAAAGGACGATCCGGTCTGAGAAGCCCTCCTGCCTCAGTGTCTCAGCACATACCAAGCCAGCAGCACCTGAGGGACAGGACCATAGACCAAGGCCAAGGTCTTTCCTACCCTCCAAGCTTCCCCTTTCCTTCATTATTCCCAACACCAACCTGCACCCACTATGAGCACATTGGTGCTACTGCTGTGGCCAGCACTTGGAGATATGCACTTGGCCATCACCTTTGTCCTCCGCTGCAGCTGCAGGGCCTGGGAGTGTGGGAGGGGGAAGAGAAGCTGGGAGCTTGGCTCCTGAGGTTCCAGCCCAGCCTCATCTCCTCCCTGCAATCCTGCATCTCTTCCTATGCCAGGCTCCCTTCTACCACAGGGATTTGGAACATGCTCTTCTCTACCTGAGATATCCTCCCAACCTGCTCTGAACCCTTCCACTCAAACCTGGGCCTTAGTGAGCCACCCTGGTACCTGCTTGCTTGCCCGGACAGTCACTTTCTCTTTCTCAATCTTCACCTGGAAGGACAGACAGCATCAGCATCAACCTCAAAAGCTTCAGTCCTGTCTCCACACCACAGACTCCCACCATACCTGAAACTTATGCAGACTGTCCAGGCCTGGGAAGTCCTCTAGGTCCCCAGTACTGATGTTGAAGCAGGCACCATGCCATGGACAGCGCACGCGGCCTCGGGACAGTACACCTTGGAGAGGCAAATGGGTACTAGGCTAGAGCCATGCACAGAGACTGCTCTCTAGGGCTCCTATAGGGCTGGATCCTGCTGGACCTCTCCCCAACCCAGGAGACCCCACAAACAGATAAGGGCCCTGGGGCCTGCTGGATCCCTGTACTGGCATGGATTATTGTATCCCAGGTATAACCCTTTCTCACCTTTCACCAGGGGTGCTCCATAGTGAGGACATTTATGGCCCAGGGCATGGAATTCCCCATTATCCTTCACCAGCAACACCTTTCCCCAGCCCAGCTCCACTTCCCGCATCCTGGGGAGGGGCTGTGATCAGTCAGAGGTCAAGCCAGAAACTAGTCTCATCCTCCTGCAAGCACCCCCTCCCCAGTGTCCTGTCTTTGAGAAGCACACAGCAACTCCCAGAGAGCCACAGCCCATTTTAGATCACTGCCTCAGCCCAAACCCATGCCCTCCACCTCAGGCCCTAACACCACCCTCGAAGCCCAGCACCCACTGGCCATTCTCGAGGTCCTTGACGTGGCAAACAGTAGCTTCCACGCAGTCCTGAGGGCTGGGGTAGGGCTGTGGGGTGGGCAGGCGCTCTTCAGCATGGAAGTGGCGTGCTGTGCCGTTGCCCTGGTAAGCCCGGGGGCTGCCCTTCCCACTGGCCGACAGCTCCTCCTTGCCCCTCTCTTTCTCAGGCAGTACCACTTCAATCTTGAGCTCCACTGTGGACAAAGCAGCCATGAGCCGTAACTGAACCAGCTCTGTTCCCACCCACAGGTCAACTTTTTCATATTTTCTTCTTGTTGAAGAACTCAATGACTGCCTCAGGCCAGGCTAGTACTCTATCACTGAGCAATGGTTAGCCCAGAAACCTTTATTTTCCCAATGGCAGTCACAGAAGGATTCACAGAACACAGCTCTTCACACTGGAGCCAGTTTCTCTAGAAATGTCTGGAGGAAAAACCCTCCACACCCAACTCATCTATACAATGATGGACAAAGACGATGTCCCTACTTGGAGACACACTTGCAGCTCAGTTCACAGCATGTATCTGGGCAAGGGGAAACAGAGTTCCCTGGGCATAGTGGCTTGCTCACACTTGCCATGACAGCACTCCAGAGGCTGAGCAGGACTTTCACAAGTCCCAGACCAGCCTAGAGAACAAAGTGAGACCCTATGTCAAAAAATGAGACAAGAATCACTGTCCTTGGAACTTTCCCATTAGCTTTGAATATGTTGTATTGTTTGGGGGTTTTGGTTTGTTTGTTTTTTTAGATGGTCTTATATAGTTGACCTCCTACTTTGACCTCATAAGCAGGTACTACCTACTCAAGCTCGAGACGTTTATTTCTTTTCAAAATTAAAAATAAAGAAAATATGACTGTCTAGGGCTGGAGAGTTGGCTCAGTGGTTAAGAGCACTTCTTGTTGTTGCATAGTTCGGTTCGGTTCCCAGCACCCACAGGGAGGCTCACCACCTCCTTCAACACCAACCACAGATGTAATGCATAGATGAACATGTAGGCAAAACACTCAAACACATAAAATAGCAAAAATAAATCTAGAAGGAAATGACATCTATTGTGCAGTGGCTCAGAGCATGTGAAGCACAGGCTCAAGATTCCATCCTCAGAAATAAACAATAATAACAATAAATTAATGTTTTAAAAGCCAGAACAAGGCATAGTCGTGTATACCTGTGATACCCATACTTGGGAGGCAGAGACAAGAGGGTCAGGAATTTTGTTTTGTTTTTAAGATAGGGTTTCTCTGTGTTACAGCTCTGGCTGTCCTGGAACTCAGTCTGACCAGGTTGGCCTTGAACTGACAGAGATCTGCCTACCTCTGCCTCAAAGGTGTGCACCACCACACCCAGCTGCCTTTCAACTTCTTAATATAGCTGTGTCCATCAGTTTGGGATTCATTCAGCATTTACCAAAGCCCACTAGTTGATGTCTCTGTGTACAGGGTCTGTAGCCTTGACAGTGAAACCACTGCGGGTAGGTATGGGCAGCACAGAGAAGCAGGCCATGGCTACCATGGCTACCACACAGAATCTGTACAGGGCCTTGGGCCTACTCCAGGGTAGAGGGGATAGGTATCTGTAGATTGACATTTTCTTCTTTGAACTTCTTTGCATTTCCCAAAATCCCCATGACATGCTTGGGGTTTTTTTTTTTTTTTTAATTAGAAGGGAACAATAAACAGAATTTTGAGCAGCCATAATCCGGTCTCCTGGGCTGCTACAGTAGGGAGGAGGAGGAAGCTAAGCCCCTGGCACAGCATGTGGTATTGGGGGAGCAGGTGGCTCTCCTCTGCATCCCCCAGGCATCAAAGCCTCTCTCTAGCTTTTACCTCTGAACCCCTTCACCTTAGACCTGACACCACAGAAACAGACTATAAGGACCAGCCCAGCTGCTGAGTCATGCCTCCTGGCCCATATCTGCACTTGTTGCTGCCCTGGACCCTCCTCCCTCCAACAGTGGCTAGCTCACACTCAGGTACAGTTCCAGTCATTGCATCCTCTGGCTCTATAGGCCCTGAATGGGTCCTTGAACCTTCCATGCTGAGCCAAGTCCCCCTCCACAGACAGGCAACCCAGCTTCCTACTCAGGCCCAGCTCTGCAGGGGACAAAGGCAAACAGCAGCTCCTTGACTAGGCATGGTGGAGAGGACACAGTCATACTGTGGAGGCAGTCATGTGGGGGTGGGGACTAACACACTTTATGTAATGGTGTTAGAATGTTTTTGGAAGAGTTAAGAAGAAAAATATGTCAGGCTCAGCTGACATTAGTGGTGAGAGCTGTGGGAGGTCCATAGGAACAGCAGGGCAGGGGCGCAGAGAGCCTCCAAGTCAAGCTGTTAGCCTTTCCTCCTTCCACAGAGCCCCAAGCTTGCTCCCTGATGTTCTCTTGGGGAATCATGAAGTCAGGAGAAGAAGCAGAAGGAAGGCTAGGTGGAGGACACTGCTTGATCCCATCAGCCCACCAGACACTGTCATCGCCTCTTGGGCCTCAAGACACTTGAGTCACAAAATGAGAGACCAGGCGATAGCAGACACTACTGATAGAGCCACACTTAGCTCTGTGTCTCGCATCACTCAGGGATAAACTGCCTGGAGTAGTGACTGACACTTGTAATTGCAGCACTTGGGAGCCTGCGGTAGAGAACTGTGGTGAGCTTGGAGCTACCCTGGCTCCACAGTGAACTCTAGGCCAGCCTGGGTTACCATGTGAGACCCCGCTTCAAAAATGGGATAGGAAGAATGAAGAACAACTACCTACCCATTTGCTGATCATGTATCTAAGCAGAACAAGAGTTCCAGTTTTGAAACTGCTCTCAGGATTTTTATTTGGCTTGGTTTGGTTTTTGTTCTAGGCGCTGAACCCAGGACTTTTCACATGTTTGACACTCACTCTACTGAGCTACAAGTATGAGCCCTGGTAACAGAGATGTGTTAGCTAGCTCTGAGCTTCCTGGCAGCCATGGTAAAAAAGCAAAAGCCTAATAATAAAAGGCAGATAGCCAGATCAAGAGAATTGTGCTCCTATTCTTGTTGTTTGTTTGTTTGTTGTTTTTTTTTTAAATAGCATGTGGGAAGGCACTCAGGATGTGGGTAGATTTGTGTATGTAATATGGAGGGATGCACACATGCCTATCTGTGTGTAAACATGAAGGCTAGCATCTTGTGTCAGGAGTGTTTTTCTATTGCTTTCCATCTCTCCTCCTCCTCTCTCTCTTTTTGACACAGCCTCTCCCACTGAATCCAGACTTCAGTGACTGGTTACTTGGCTACATGCCTCCTACCCCCAATACTAGGATTACAGGTGCACAACACCACACCTGGTTTTCATGTAGGTCCCGGGGATCCAAACCCACATCCGGATGCTTGTGTGGTGGGTTCCTCATTTACTGAGCCACTGCCTCAGGTCACTTTCTACCAGTTCTGACATAGGTAAGCAACTGACTTAAAGTCTTAGGAAGAAGAAAGAGCTGCCAGAATGATTCTGGGTAGCCTTAATCCCAGTTCTCAGGGGGCAGGGGCAGGAAGATCTCCGGAAGTTCGAAATGAGCATAGTCTACAGAGTGAGTTCCAGGCCAGCCAGAGCTACACTAAGAGGCCTGTCTCAAAAACAAAGACCCTTCAGAACACAACAGGTGGGACTCAGGAGGCCAAACGCTGACAACATTAAGATGCTGCTGTGAAGAGCAGCAGAGAGGGCCCTGCTGACCTCAGCTGAGTGTCCATGTCTCACTCTCATGCCCATCCTGAAACTTCCTGAGCCCCACCCCTGGCTGGAGCAGGGGCCTGAGCCTGCTGATGGAACCCAGAATTCACCTCAGAGAGGAAGAAAGAAGTCACACCTGCACGTGGGCATGCCAGGGTCAGACGCAGGCACAGCTACCACACTCCCACTTTCTACATGAGGACATGGAGGACCAGAGAGGGGTAATCAGGCTCTGGTCACACAGGTAGGAGGCTACAAAGCCAAGTTTTATTTTATTTTGAGGCAGGGTTTCTCTGTGGCTTTGGAGGCTGTCCTGGAACTAGCTCTGGTTTCAAACTCACAGAGATCTACCTGCCTCTGCCTCCTGAGTGCTGGAATTAAAGACAAGGCGTGTGCCACCAAAGCCTGCAAAAGCCCAAGTTTTAACATTGCCTCTGAGTAGTGAGAATAGCCAAGCACTATGAGACCAGCCAGAGCAACACAGTAACATTCTAGAGAAAGGGATAAAGATACAGTGAGATGCTGAAGGTTCCCATCATCAATCACAAAGCCACCTGCAGCCAGGCCTTCACCAGGACACAATGTGTTCCCTCAAATTATAAACCAAAATAAACCTCTCCTTCCTTAAAATACAGTTTTAAAAACATAAACTGAGTGTGATGGCTAAGGCCTGTAATCCCAGCCTGTGGGAGCCTCACAGCATTTCCAAGGCTAGCCTGGTTATTTAGGGCTATATAGTAGAACTGTTTTTTTGTTTTTTTGTTTTTGAAAGCGGGGCGTGTGGGGGGAGGGATGTGCATGTGCAGGGTGGGGATTGCGGGGTGTGTGTGTGTGTGTGGCTTAGAGGTCAAGAGAATTTGCTGCTTTTGCAGAGGACCAGGGTTTGATTCCAGCACCCACACCATGGTTTACAACTAATCATCAGTAACTCCAGTTTCAGGAGATCAGATGCACTGTCTTGGCCTCCACAGGCATTGCACACATGCTATGCACTTACATACATATAGGCAAAACAATCATACATAAAATAGAAATAGTCAGGCAGTGTCAGGAGGCAGAGGCAGAGAGATCTCTGGGTTTGAGGCCAGCCTGGTCTACAGAGTGAGTTCTAGGACAGCCAGGGCTACACAGAGAAACTCTGTCCTGAAAATCCTAAATAAATAATCTTTAAAAAAAAAAAAAAAAAAAAAAAAAAGAAAACACAACAAAACAAACCCAGAGCTGGAGCACATACCAATCTTCCAGCTTGAGATCCAGCACCCAAATCAGGTTGCTAACAACAGCCTATAACCCTCCTCCAAGGGGGTCTGACTCTTCTGACACCTGCATGCACCTGGACTATGTGCACACACATGAACTGTGTACACACCTATGCACGCACCTGTACCATGTGCACACACACACCTGCTCTGTGTGCACACACACACACCTGCTCTGTGTGCACACACACACACCTGCAGTGCGCACACACATGCACCTACAGTATGCACACACATATACCTGCTGTGTGCACACACACACCTGCTCTATGTGCACACACACGTACCTGTACCATGTGCACACACACACCTGCTCTGTGTGCACACGCACACACACACCTGCAGTGTGCACATACATATACCTGCTCTGTGTGCACACACACACCTGCTCTATGTGCACGCACATGTACACACACATACAATTTAAAGTAATAAAAATAACTTTTAAAAAATCAAAAAGGAACTACAGCTATAGCTTAGTTTGTAGAGTGTTTGCTTAGCATTCCCAAAGTCCTGAGTTCTATACCTAGTACTAAATAAAATTAATAGTTAATGGGACATTCCTGTAATTCCAGAAGGAAGGAGATGGAGGTAAGAAGATCACAAGTTCAAGATCATTCTCAACTCCACAATGAGTTTGAGGCTAGCCTAGGCTACATGAGAGCATGTCTTTAAAAAAAAACAAATCACAAAACAAAGCAACAGACAAGTGACAGGTCAGGGGACAATGGCTCGCTCTAGATCTGAAGTGCAAGAGTCAGGGGTACCGTGGTTAGAACAGCTCTTTGGGGTTATTTAAAGGAAAATGCAGAAGGTATTTTGTTTCTTTGGTCTCCTGCCAACCAAGCAGTCCCACAGGTACCCAGCATGTGACCGACGTGGAATCTAGCTGGCACATCCCTGTCTACTCTGAGAAGGGAGAGAGAGACAAAGACAGTGGGTGCCGGTGGCAGAGGCTGAGGGACCTGGCACAGACTCAGGCAAGGAATGGTTGTCCTCAACACCACACCAGTGGGTCACAGCTTTGTTCCCTCCCCCAAGCCTTCTGAGTCCCAAGGTAACCGAGATGATGGGTATCAGGTAAGGAGAGCTATACAAGCTGGCAGAGTGTGCCAGCCAGGGCAAGTTGGGTAGAGGTGGGTGGAACAGCGCTCTGGAGCCCTGTCAAGGCTACAGGTCCTGCTTCTTGGCTGCTATGACTAGGAAAGAAGGAATGTGTGGACTGGGGGACAAACCCAAAGACAGGAGTTTGATGGCAGGGCAGATCCCAAATTCTCTAGTGCTTGGAATGAGCCTACCTCTGGCTGGAGCTTCTAGGGCTAGGCAGAGCCAGGATTTTCTATATAAATGGAAAGGACAGAAGGGCATGATGGTGGACTCTTTTAATCCTAGCATTTGCAAGGCACAAGCAGGAGGATCTCTTTAAGTCTGAGACCAGACCAACCTGGTCTACACAGTGAGACCCTGTCTCAAAACACAAAAACAAAAAGGAGATGAGGCCCAGAGATGGCATGGGAGAGCATACAGTGATGAGAAGAGGTAAGTAAAGAGACCTGCCTGTCATACCGCCTGTCATACCCTGCCAGTCTCTGAGAGGTCAATGTCCAGGCCTATTTTGCAGAGGGAAACTGAGACTCAAAGAGGTCACCCTGAAGCTGAGAACATCTCTGGAGCCTTTCCTCTCCTGCAGTGGAGGAAGTAGCCCTTCCCCCAACCTTCTAGACCTCACTTTCTAAGAAGGATCCGCTGTTGTCCCCACCACTAACACACAAAGCCTCGAATAAAGAGGGGCTGCTATGTGAGAGTTCAGGGAAGCCTTCCTAGGCCTTCACCACTCTTGCCCACAGTGCATTAGCATTCTGTGCTCCTGCCTAGCCTGACCTACTTTGGAGGTTGGTGGAGTGCAGAGAGGGAGGGGGAGGTTGTCAGAAAGGGGGAGGTACCTGGCTTGGGCTTGGAGAAGCAGCCACCCATGGTGAACAGCCTGAGATCTGGCCTGGCTAGCGGAAGCACAGATGGCAAGCTGTCCAGCTGTCCAAGGTCTACGATGTCCCCTGCAGGACTAGACCCCCTTTGGTCTTCAGAGATGCTGAAGCTGCCATGTCAGCTGGACAGTCTCATTACCTGCAGGGGAGATGGAACATTGGTACAGGTGTGGTGGGGGCTCCTGGAGAGTCCTAGGGGAGCTCAGAACTTGTGTGTGGGTACTCTGGATAGCACTGGTCTCCCTGTGAGGCTTCCAGGCATAGGAACCTCATACTCATCTTTGCATGCACTGTTGGAGACCCTCAGTGCCCTAGTTAGTGTCTGCCACTCTCTATGTCACCTGAGCTGCAGAGACTCTGTCCCCAGAATTCTCTTCCTTCCCCAGGAGGGACTTTGGACTCTCCATTTTCCTAGGGGAGACCTCCAAGTCTGCACCAAACCCTGGGAACCAGGGAACCCTTCCTCCAATGGGAGTGACAAAGGTCTTGCTCCAGCCATGGCCACTAACCTGACTTGCAACCCCTAGTCACCTACCTCCTTTCGAGGGAGTCATTGCTCCTTGCTCCCAGCCCAGCAATGAAGAGAGACTACTGGGCCTTGGACCGAAGGGCAGGGAGAGCCTGGGTCCAGGAGGGTCTGGCTCTCCTTCTACCATGAGTTGTGGCCAGGAGGGGGCTGTGGGTATGGGGCTAGGCCAAGCCACTGGTCCCCAGGGAAACCCAGCTCTGTGGGGAAAAGAGCGGGCAGCCAGCCCAGGACTGATGGGGTTGGGGAAGAGGGAAACCAAACCACACAGTCCTGCCTGTGACAAGCAGCCATCCGTTCCTCCAACCCCCCATGCTGGCTGTGCACTGCTGAGGTCATGCCCCACAGAGGATAAAGACAGGGGTTCAAGGTCTCATCACAGGCAAGCAGCAGGTAGATTATTTGTGGTCCCCAACCCCCCACTCCAATAACTCCTAAGATGGAGGTCTCCAGATCACTCTAAGGCTGCAAGAGTACCTGGTAAGCAGTCACTGCAGCCCTGTGCCCTCACAGGCATGGGTGGGCCTTCTGCAAGATGTGGACTTTGGAAGGCTCAGGACAAAGGTGTAACTACCCTGTTTACAACTGACCTCTGCACATTCTACCCCGCAGTCAGCCCTTGTTTCACCTGGAGACTCTTTCTGAAGTCTACCCTGAAGAAGTGCTGAGACTCATTTGGTTAGTTCAGACCCTAGGAAAGAGCCAGGAACCAAGAAGAAAGGAAGGATCCAGCCACTGCTGGCTCCTGATCGTAGCTGCAAATTACAGGTGAGAAGGAACCCAAAGCCATGTAGGTGTACCTTCTCCTCTGGTCACCAAGGTATGTCTCAGATGTAGCTGCCCTCCTTGCTCTCTTCCTGGGAACCAGACAGGCCTTTCCAGAGGGCCTGATTTCCCGTGTCTAGCTCAGCCTGCCTCCTTCCTGCCTGGTGTCAGCCTCACCTGTTGGGCCTGAGTTCCTACAAACAGACTGGCTTGTGACCCTGGGGTCCAAGCCGGCTGTTCACTCCCTTCCCAGGTACCCAGGGGTTTGTTTACTCCTTGGGCCTCCTGCCTGGTGGGAGATTTGGTGGGGACCATGCCTTCCACCTATGATGTGCTAGGCCAGCTTGGGGCCAGACATCCCAAATCAAAAGACAGAGTTACTTGGGCCTGCAGGGAGAGACCTCTGCATTTTGTTGCCCAGAAAAGTCTTAACACTGCCTGCTGCACACTCCACACCAGAAGCTTGCGTCCATGTCCCAAGAACTCCAGCAACCTGAAGCAGGTTGAGTTACCTACCCCACCTCACAGGGTTCCCCAGGCTTCTGCATGGGTCCCAGGACTCCCCTGGATTCAGGCCACCAGAAGCCTGCTTCTTTTCCCCCATCCAGATCCCACTCTTCGTCCCTGGAGTGTGTTGGGTGGGAGGCTTTTTTTTTTTTTTTTTTTAATTCCTGCTTAGTCTAAGCCCTCTGTGGCTTCAGGTGCCCTGGTGGACTGCTGCCTTGGAGCGCCTCATCTTGTGATTCACATTTGGGGGAAGGGGGGACTGACGCCAACGTCCTGTCCACTCTCCCTGCCTTGGCACGTGCAATTTCCTCAGTGTGGGAAGCCTTTTCCAGTACCCTTACCGGCTTCTTTGCTGCTCCCTCTCCAGCCAGGCGCAGCGGCCAACCAACCGACCAGCCCTAAGTAGGGGGCTCCAGGCAGCCCAAAGGGGTGCTGGGAAGCTGCAGCAAGGACCAGGGTCGCTCCAGCCTCCTGAGTGCCCCACTCGGCCGCCAGGGTAGAGATCGGCGAGCGTGCTGGCCGAGGGCGCGGGGCGCGTGCGGGACAGTGCCAGGCGCGCTCACCTGGCTTGGCGGTCGCAGGCGATCCGGCCGGCGAGTGGGCGAGCGGGAGGGCAGGCGCTAGGGATCCGCGTCTGACTGCGGCCGGCCTGCAGGGCGGAGCGGACAGGGGCGGGGCCGCCGCTGCGGCTACACTGCGGGCCCCGAGCCCGAGGCGTCCGCCCCGCCCCACAGCAAAAGTAGGGTCAACGTTAAGCTTCCAGTCACCTGCCAGCAGCAGAGTGTGAGAAGGCTCCAGGGCTGCATACGAGACCCTCAAGACCCCCGAGACACTGCGCACCGGTGTGGGTAGCCAAGCCATCCTTACTCGGCGGGAGCGAGGTGGAGGTTAACTCTGTATGAAATGTCCCGGAAGAAGAAGAAAACCCAAACCATAGCCCCCTAGTCTCCTAACTCCATCTCACCCCACTTCCACACGTTTTATTACATTTTCTTTTCCCAACCTGCTAGTATCTGAAGATAATTTCCAGGGACTCGTTACGATGCTCTCCTTCCATGAAGCCGTCCATCTGTGGCCAGCTTGCCCAGGCCAGATCACCACTTTTCTGGATGTTTTCACTGTCTTTCCTGCCGCTGTCATTCCATTTCTGAGCCATTGAGGTCTACTAGAGATTGTCCTTCTAGCACTAAAACCAGTGGCAGTATTTCAGGGAAGTATTTCTGTTACTTGGAGCCCGTAGGTCTGTCGGGAGTGCATGAGCAGTGCTTGCCTGCTCTGTCCCAACCCATTTTACAGAAAGAAAGGCAACCCTAGGGACTGAGTCTTGCCCAGGGCACAGAAGCAGAGGGCGCAGGACAATCTTCTTTGTCTGGCAGGCAATGTGGTTTCTACCATGGATGCTGAGACCCATCACAGGCAGCTTTTGCTGGGACATGATGCCCTTGACCTCAAACCAGCTGGTCTCACAGGCACACTGAACATTTGTACCTCTAGCCTTACCCTAGCAAGAAACAACCAAAGATTTGACTTCATATGCACTTCTAAACACAAAACCAAAACCAAAATAAATAATAAATAAAAACAATAGGCTATTGCCACTGTTCTTGGTTGCCCGCCACAACTAGATGGTAAACCTGTGTTGCTGAGAACACAACACAATGTCATTGCAGGGCACAGAGAAAGCTGGAACAGAGTTAGCTAGCTTTCACAGAGATGAGAGGTACTATGCTGTCCACTGGGAATAAAAGCCACCAGTGTCCTCACCTAGTGTTATACACTTCGTGCTATAGTACCACAGCCACTGATGAAATACTGGCACAAAAATCATGGGGTAACAAAACACTGTACTGTTGGATTTAAGGTCTGCTCCCCAGGAGAGAACTCAGGCCTGTACTATAAACTGGTTAAAAGTCCATGGCCAGGGAGGTCATGGGCCCTAAGAGATCCTGCTACTGCTATATTGCTAAATGGACGTGCCAAACCGCCTTCTAATTATTTATGTTTATACACATTAGTGGCCAGAGAAGCTGCTCTCTGTAGAGGCCAACAATTAATGAAGGGACTCATAACTAGCCAAAATGTTGAGAATATGTGACTATTGAATGCTCGGCCATGAATAGGTCTGTCAGTCCCTACTTCCTCAAGGCTCAGGGAGAAGCACGGAAGAGGGGGCAGGAAGAATGTATGGACTGGAGGATGGGGGAGCGCTACAAAGGACTGTGTTCCGGACAGTCATGAACTCACTGAAGCTATAGCTGCCTGCTCAAATCCTGCACACATCGTTCAACATTCCAACAGGCAGCACTAATTGACTCAGGTTGCTCCCCCCCACCCCTGTCTGCCTCAGGGCTGAGGACCAAAGCCAGGGCCTTGTCCTTCCTAGGCAAGAGCTCTACCACTGAGCTAAATCCCTAAGCAGATTCAGTAGCTTCCAAAGAAAACCAAAACCAAAACCAAGAAAGTGCATGAAGGGAGCAGGGGGATATGTTAGGCATTTGGGATAGCTGTGGAGTGGGAATTGAGAATTGGAGGTATATATATGATCAACAAAAGATCTGTGGGGAAATTTTTTTTTTTTTTTTTTTGAGACAGTGTCTCATTTAGCTTAATCTGGCCCTTGACTTGCTGTAACCAGGATGATCCTCTTACCTCTACCTCCCTAGAGCTGGGATTTCAGGCATGCACCCTACACTAGGTGCTGGGGGAGGAGCCCAGGGCCTGTTCATACTAAACTCAAAACTGAGTTGTATCCTGTAACTCCCTGTGTAAACAAGACTGGCCTCAAATTCACAGGCTGCTGGGATCAAAGGCGTGCACCACCACTGCCTAGTTTGTTTTCGCATTTTTCATTCTGAGACAAGGTAAGTTGCCCAGGCTGGTTTGAACAGACTCTGTAGTTCAGGGAGGCCTAGAGCTTTCATTTCCACAGCCTCTGGAGTAGCTGCTATTACAGTCTTGTACCAGCAGGTCTGATTCTTCACAACTAGTCAGGGGATGAGGAAACAGAAGTTCAAAGAGGTTAGGGACCCTGTGCTGGCTGGTGTGGTCAACTTGACACAAGCTAGATCATCAGAGGAAAGACCTCAGGTGAGGAAACGCCTCCATGAGATCAACTGTAAGGCATTTCTCAATTAGTGATCAATCAGATTAGTGACCATGGTGGGTGGTGCCACCCTTGGGCTGGTGCTCCTGCCTAGAAAAGAAAGCAGGCTGAGCCAAGTCAGTAAACAGCTCCCCTCCGTGGCCTCTGCATCAGCTCCTGCCTCCAGGTTCCTGTCCTGCTTGAGTTCCTATCCTGACTTCCTTCAGTGATGAACAGCAATGTGGAAGTGTGAGCCAGATAAACCCCTTCTTCCCCAACTTGCTTTTTGGTCATGGTGCTTTGTTCCAGCAATGGACCCTAAGACAGACCCCTTCCTTCAAGAGTACACAGCTGGTAGGTAACAGGGCTGGAACTTGAACTGATGGGCTTAGTCCCTTGTGCTGGTGTAGTGGTGTTGTGAGAGCTGGAGGGAAGAGGCATGTCACCCTACACCTACATCGTCTGCTGCAGCTCCCACATCTGAGGCAGGCGGATCTCTGTGAGTTCGAGGCCAGCCTGGTTTACAAGTGCTAGCTCCAGGACAGCCTCCAAAGCCACAGAGAAACCCTATCTCAAAAAAAAAAAAAAAAAAACAACAACAAAAAAAAAACCCCAAAACCAAAAACAAACAAAAAAAGATAAAGCCAGGCGCAATGGTGCACTCCTTTAAGACACAGTGAGTTCTGGGTCAGCCAGAGCTAGCTATGTAGCGACTCTGCTTCATAAAAAGGTGGGAGGGACATAACAGACAGAAAACAATAGGAAAGTGAACTAGTCCCAACAACTTGCTTTCAGACTGAGATTGCAGCATCCCTTGGGGACTGGTTTGCTTTGGAGACATAAGCAACTATTTGGGCAGATAATAGGGGCTACCTGCCCGAACACAACCACCAGACCCTGCCAGCTCCCCACTCCCAACCCACGAGAGTAATAGGGAGCATCCAGAAGGGTTGAACATTTTCTGGGGTCCTCTCACCCTCACTCCAGACCAAGGTCAGGTTGTCCCTTTCAGGATGTGAGGTCCTCTGTCCCCACACTTAGGATATAGGGGGCAGCCATCGATAGCTGTAGCTCTCTGGAGTCTAGGAGATGTGAAGCACTAAGTGTCCCCTCATGTGCACGTCTTAAGAACTGGCCAGCAATACTTGTGCTTTCAGGTTCAGGTGACCCAAGGGTGCAATAGAGGGGTTTGGAGCAAGCAGTTTCCAGTACCAAGTTGGGGAGGGCAGCTCTATGCATGCTGCTGGGCTATTGGTGCCCAGGTCAAAAGGTTCACTGGTAGTTTGTCTCTGAAATAAATGGTGTGTGTGGTGGTGTATGTGTGTGTGTGGGGGGGGGAAGGGGGTGCAAGGCCAGTCTCAACTCTATGGGACCTAGCTCCTCTTCAGCACAGGTGGCATTAGACAGACTACAGCCCTGGCTCAGAGATTTCTGGAGCCAGGGCCAGAGACGGGTGTCCACTGGCACAGTAGTTCTAAAACCTCACTATACTTCGACCTCCAGCACTCACGTCTTATCAGTCAGAACTAGGGCCAGTCTCCATCTGAGCTGCTGGTGGGGGATAAAAGTGCTGAGGTCTAAAGGGTGAACGTCAGATGCTGGAGGTCTGGGTACCTCAGGTGCAGGCCTGCAGAACAGTGGTTCTCATTACTTTCTAAGGTGGAGACTTGGAATGCACCTGCCCACACATGCTCACAATTCCAGCATCTGTAGGCAGGAGGATTTTCAAAGTCTAAGGGTTTGAATTTCTTGATACACAAACAAACAGGCACAAGAATAAAATGTACATAAAAGATGAAATGTGCTTACAGGGTCACAGCAGGGGAAGGTGACCCTGGCTACCCTCCACCTGAGAGAGTCACCTGCCCCTGCCTACTGGGAAGCAAGAGTGCTGGCACTAAAGGCATGCACCACCACTACCATCCAACAATCTGTGAGGATTTCAAGCAAGACATCCACACAAAAGTCCCCCAGCCCCCAAGATCCTCAAAGCTCACAAGGAGGTCTATATACAGACAGGAATGGCAGCAGACAGGATGGCTTGCTTTCCCTGACCACTGAGGTCCTCAGGTTAGTTCGTTCTCAGCAGATACTCAACAGAGCAGAGCAGTCTTCTGCACAACTCCCGGCCCCCTGCTAGGAAGGCTAAGTCCACGTGTGGAGTTCCCACAGCACTCACTAGATTCTGAGAACAGTTACTTCCCAGACTAAGAAGCTGCCATTTGGGTAAGACAGGAGGGAGCAGCATGATCGAGTCTATGTGACTACCATGGGCTCCGCCACAGTTTAATGGTTGGGAGAGTTTGGTGGGGACTGACTGAGCAGACACTGAAACACCGAGGCTGCTGCCACTGCCAGCTGGTGCAAGTTTTATTGAGACAATGTACAAACAGGCCATGGAAACAAGGGTTTTGATGCTGGGACCAGTAACGTAAAATGGAATACAAAAATAAAAAGGCACTAATCTGTTAAGAAAAGACACTCAATGTATTCTAAGAATATAAGTCATTTAATACTGTTAATTTTATAGCACAAAATAAAACAAGCTATGATCCCCAAAAATAATTTTAAAAGCTTACACAGAAAATATTATTGCCTGACACTTATGATCTTTAAGTTACACATGTCAAAAGAGTTTTATGTTGTTTTAAAACACACAGTGAAGGCTGTCTAGAAGCAAGGCCACTGTTCCTCCTGTTTAGAGAACTGTCCTCCTGCTCCTCGAGAATATACAAGCAGCTCAGTGTCCAGACTGGCAGCAGTCCCAGGGATGTGGTTCTCTGGTCCCATGGTGAGGAGTCCACAGAGAGCATTAGTCTTAGGTACTGTGTTACAACAATCAAGGATTCACTCATTTTAAGAGGTTAATGAACATAGTATTAAAAGATTAAATTATAAACACCTGGAACAAGAACACATCATCCCTTAAAAACACTCATTATTCTGAACAAAAGTTACAAGAGCAGTGGCCATCAGTCCTGGCCCATCTTGTCTGTAAACAGCTGGAGAGGAAGGCTAAGGCTGGCGCAGTGCCAGAGATGTGCATCTCCAAGGGAGGGCACAGAGTCTCTTCCGGTGAGCAGGGGGTTCTGCGTCTGGGTGACCAAAGCCAGTGCACCCTGGTAACCCTGCAACAGGTGGTATCAAAGCAGCGTAGAAGTGACAAGGATGCTTCCTGCAGGAGGTTCTGTCCAGGAAACAGGACTGCAGCCTAGCTATCTATGACGAGACTACCTAGTTGTCTCCTTCTCAGACACAACAGCCACAGTGAGTGGGTTGTCACCCCAGTACTCTCTACAATACAGCAGAGCAGACCATGTAATGATGGTCACAGAAGGAAAACCCCAGATCACATTCCCTTCTGAGGCCGAGGGTTTGCCCAGAGGAGTGGGACCTAGGCAAGATGCCACTTTCTATCAGTGCACAAATTTAAGTCAGGAAATTACTACTTTTGGCACATATCCTGAGAGTTCTGAACTTGTCTTATTTTCAGCTTTGGATCTGAGGGAGCTATAGAAACATTTACATGGGCCAAATTAGCTGATTTCAGAAACCAAACTCCAAGTTTATGGGGCATTTTGATTCTGAATTTACATGGAGTCTTTCTTGCTGGTCAACAGACTTGAGAAGGGAAACCCTCTTCTCAAAATTGGCTGCCTGTGCCAAGCAAACTGCTATAATCAAAAGTTATCAAGCTACTTTAGTTAAAAGCAGTTTCAAAAGACCTTAAGAGCTGGGTGTGGTGACTCAAACCTTTGTAATTTCAGCTGAGGCTGGTATGGAAAATTTGAAGCTAGCATGGCAATTGGTGGAGATCCCATCACAAAATTTAAAAGAACTCAGTGGCAGAGGGTTTATCTACCATGTATAAGGCAGGAGGTTCAAGTCCCACAATGGGTGTGAGTCCTTGGGGTTTGTGTCCTCTGTGAACAAGGCATGTATTCAGTGCAGGTATCCAAAGGCATAGGGCTGAACTGGGTCACTAGCCACAAGGCAAGTATTGTTCTAGGCAGGGTTTGGGGTTCCCTCAACAGACCTTGCCAAAAATGGCAGCTTTCAGAGACAAAAAGAACTGACCTCTACTACTTTTTTCTGGAAAGCCACAGACATGGAAACATGATGGATGATACCACCCCCAAAGGACTATTATGTCACATGAACATTCTTTATTATGTTATCAGCCTGATGGAGCACTGATTTAAAGAAAAACAGATGGGGCTCAAAACGTGGCTCAGTGGCTAACAGCACTTGCTGCTCTTACAGAAGACCCAGGCACAATTCTTAGCACCCACATAATAAATCCAGGTCCAGAGGATCCCATGCCCTCTTCTGGCCTCCTTAGACACTGCACCTATGTGATGCACATTCATACATGAAGGGAAATACCCATACACTGAGGGGCGGGGGTGAAGGTGTGTTTCTAAAACAGTCTCTGTCTATAGGCCTGGCTGTTTTGTAACACATTACATAGACCAGGCTAGCCTTGAACTCTGAGACCTGGTTGCCTCTGCCTTTCTAAATGCTGGGATTAAAGGTGTGTGCCACCATGTCCAAAACATACACATTACACACACACACACACACACACACACACACACACACACACTTTAAGAGAAATAAATATAGTGGACAAATGGTTGTGTTAGTTTTGTCTCCTGAATATACTCCACTAGTTCTTACAGCCTAAGAGCCTGCACAGCCAGGCTCACAGTTGCAGCTTTTGTGTAGATGCTGGAGCTACTCACTAAATCACTGCTACATTTCTGGGTCTTCTGTGGTGTTGTATGTGGAGGTGTGTCCTCATCAAGGTCAGCCGAAACAGCATACTACAGAAAAAATCTAGAACTCAGGTTTGCCACATGTGGATAAGGGATTAGACACACATTTGTACCAACTGACTTGCATATTGGGTCATGGTATATAGGTTAAGGGTCCCAGAGTCTGCATTTTCTTTGCTTAGGAGCACTGTGTACTGTTCCACAGCCTTAGTGGAACAAAACACACAGTACTGCCACTTTCAAGCTGCCTGGGACAGGCTGGGTCAGGTTAGGAAGGGCTGATAAGACTTTGTGGTAAATCCACTGTTCTTAAAGGGTGCACTCATTGATAAGCTAGCTAGAACTGACCAAGTGCTCCACCCTTTTCTGACCAGACTCCACAGACCACGGCTCACCCTGGTGTTTCCCAGCTGCATACAGCATGGCACACCATGACTGTGGTTTGTGTGTACTGTTTGCCACATGGTACACAGGGTCATGGCAACCAAAAGATAAAGGCCTCCACTTCAGGGTGTCTTTTCATATTCCATTAGTTACATACAGCAGCTTCAGTTTGGAAGCTCAGGGACTGTTCCTTAGACTATCACAAAAATTCAACCTACTATTTAAAAATCTGTTCAGATCACACTAATGAAGTAGTTTTCCAAAAACAAAACTAAACAAAACCAAGTGGAAAAAAGCCAGATTTCAGAAGTTCGGAAAGAACTGTCTGGAGTTTACTTCCTCTGTTGTCCCAAGGAAAACAAGTTGATGGCAAAGCCACTGCTCTGTGGCCCAGCAATGGCAAGAGCTTGCGGAGGCTAACCCTGTCCATGTGGACGCCAGCAGGCTCACACGTTCTATGTGACAAGCAAGGCAGTGATGAGAAGGGAGGCCCTTTTTGTGTTCAGTTCTCTACCTGTGCGGTTCCACCGGCATTCCAGTCTACAATCCACAAGAACTCTAAAATCAGCTACTCTTTGACAGCATGACTATGATACAAATGTCAAGACGAAGCTGCTGGAAGCATTCCAAGTATGCAGGAGCCCGCCAATGTATGGAAAGCCGTCCGCCAGCAGCTAGGTGTGACTTGCATGTGAGAGAATGCTTCTCACTTCAAAGGAGACTATGGCAGGCAGAACAAAGCAGCAGCAGGGACAGCAATAGCAATCACTCGTTGTCATCTGGGTTTTGAGGGTCAAAGATTTTAACATGTGTGAAAGGGAAAAGCCCTTTGCGCCCATTCACCTCGCCTTCCCACTGGCCATTTATATTCATCCTTGTGACTTTTACAATGTCACCAACCTGTAGGGATAGAGAAGACAAAATTAGCATCATTGTGCAAACAAAAGAAAGACAGTTCACATTAACCCACAAATGCTACCTATCCAAAGACTAAGACTAACCTTTTTTCTTCACTGTTTGGACCTGAAAATCAAGTACTACAAAGACACAAGATGCCACCAGTGTACCTAGGACACCTCTCAGCTGGCAAGTATCTGTGAAACAGTTTCTGAGCACAAAGCAGTCATCACCCCAGTGGTTACTAATAGGTGAACATACATGTGCATGTCAAGCTACACAGAAGGGTGGGAAGTAGCCAAGCCTGGTGCTCACAATCCCAGCATATAGAAGGTCAAGGCCAGAACAGTCTGGTTTCACTGAGATTCTGTCTCAAAAGAAGAGACTGTATTGCTTTGACATATATATATATATATATATATTTTTTTTTTTTTTGAAAGATTTATTTACTATGTATGCAGTGTTTTGTCTGCACATATACCTGCTTGCCAAAAGAGGGCACCAGATCTTATTACAGATGCTGTGAGCCACCATGTGGACATAAAGACAACATCTGAGGTTGACCTCTGACCTCAAAAAACAATGACAAAAACATGAAGGGGAGGAAGGAGAAGACAGGAAAAGGGAATCTGTTCACCTCAATTCACAGGAATGGGGCTTCTATCAGCAACATCACCTCACTCACCATGGCCCCTAAGTATCCATGATGCAGTGGGTGGATGTGGGGGACACTAGAGGGCTGGTCTGCCCTTCAGTCCCGAGTGCCTAGCTTACAGGTGTAAGTCACAACCTGAGGTTTCCTTAGCTCTGAGCTACACAAATACATACACAAAATAAACAAATAAATGTAATGAAAGAAAAAAATGCAGGGTATATGAATTCTATCCACTGCTGGAGGACAGGCATCTAAGAAAAGCTGGGAATTTTATTGGTAAAGAGGTCTTTGCTAGGCAGTGGTGGTGCACGCCTTTGATCCCAGCACTTAGGAGGAAGAGGCAGGCGGATCTCTGAGTTTGAGGCCAGCCTGGACTACATAGTTAGCAGCCCAAAAATAATAAATAAAACAAAAGAGGTTTTCAAAGCATTTTGGGGACCTAGAGAGCTCTGGAAGTACTCTCAGGGCCCAACAAATATTTGATCAGGATTTTCAAAATTGTATTTATATAATTATTACAAAAAAGTATAACCAAGGTGTGCTACCATTGACATATTAGCCTTCACTATTCTGACAATTTGTTTTTATGATCTTTAGAAGGTTAGCTTTAAAAAAAAAAAAACTACCACTACTTGCAACAAAATAACTGAACACTGAGTTGGTACAAGACCGCATGTGTGCCAAGACTGTATGTTGTTCATGATACTCCCAATTTCTTCTGCCTATTGTAATTTTCTATAAAGATAGGGTCTCAAAATACAATGGGTCTGGAGAGATAGCTCAGCCATTATTAACAAAACCTGCTGCTTTTCCAGAGGATCCAAGTTCAATTCCCAGCACCCACATGGCAGGTCACAACTGTCCATCACTCCACTTCCAAGGGGAGGCAATGCCTACCTTTGGCACCAAACATTCAAGTGGTGTACATATATACATGCAGGAAAAACACACATATCCATAAAATATTAAAAATGTTTATGAGATGTCAGTTCCTTCCACTAGGTGGGTCCTAGGAATAACTCAGGTCCCCAAGATAGGCAGCAAGCATCTTTACCCACCGAGCCATGTGGCTGGCCCTTACCTAGTATTTTTCAACTTTGTCGGTAACAGGGGTCCTATAAAACTGGTAAAGGGGAGCCAGAGGTAGGAGTATATCATATATCTTGCTGGTGCAATGCTTGTCTAGCATGCCCAAGTCCTAGTGTTTGAGTTTCAGCACCACAAAGAGCAGGAGAGGAAATGACACATAAGAAAAATGCATTTCGAAATGGCAGATGTTAAAAGAAATAAAGGGAGAAAAAAAAAAAATCACACACAGAGTTACATGTTGTGGTGTGTTGTGTGTGTGTTGTGTGTGTGTGTTCATCTGTCTGTCTATAATCTACTGAAGAAAGGAGGATCAAGGAATCAGGTTTAGCCTTGGCTTCACAGTGAGTTCAAAGCCTTGATTCCATCAAGTCATGTCTCAAAAAGTCACAGTCAACTAACCAAACAACCCCTTTGAAACAATCCATAAAAGCAAACAGAATGATAGATGGAGGGAGATGTGAAATCAGTGTCTAATAAAACATTCTAATGGATACAGCAGGATAAAGATAACAGGAAGACAAGAATAGAGTATGCAAGACACTGAAAAACAACTCTTTATACTTCTTTCCACGAGATTTCATTAAGGCAGCTTCATATCCTTAAGTAATTTCCCTATCTCTCCTGCGGTTTGACAGTAAACATTCTGTAGTTGCGATGTGGCCAATGCTTGTTGAGTATGTTAGATAACAACATAGCAACAATTATGTACATTACATACATAGAGTCAATAAAACAGAAAAACAAGCCACTTCAAGCTAGACAGAGCCTGGAAGCAGCACCTGACCTAGTCCCTCCTGTGACTATAAACAGTGCCTTCTGCATGCCAAGCCAAGCACTCTACCAGCACCACAGACACATTGCCCTTTACTGTTACAAATATTTATTTTTATTGTTTTCATTGCATGTGTGTGAGTATGTGTACAAGAATATGGGTGCCTGAAGAGTACAAGGGTGTCAGATCCCCCGGAGCTGACAAGCTCCTGACATGGGTTCTCCACAAAAGCAGTATACACTCTTGAAGGTATTTACTCAATAGAAAACATAGTATGTGAAGGAAAATATATTCATTAAAAAAAGTATCAAGGGGCTGGAGAGACGGCTCAGAGGTTAAGAGCACTGGCTGCTCTTTCAGAGGTCCTGAGTTCAATTCCCAAAAATTACATGGAGGCTCACAACCATCTGTAATGAGATCTGGTTCCCTTTTCTGGCCTGCAGGCACACATGCAGGCAGAACACTGTAAACATGATAAATACATAAAAATAAATTAATTAAAAACAAAACTTTTTTTTTTTTTAAAGAAAAATAGCAAAGCCATGAGGGGCTAGCAAGATGGCTTGGTGGGTAAGGTACTGGCCATGCAAGTCTGAGAACCTGAATTCAATCTTCAGAACCCATGAGGGAAGAACTGACACTACAGATTTATACCCTGACTGACACATGTGCATGGTGAAATGTGCCTACCTCTTCTCATGTGCATATGTGCACACACTCACACACTCACACACAAACCAGCACACAGGAGGCCAAGGCAGTAGACTATTTGAAAATTACCAAATCAATTTAAGAGTATTTGTACCCTATTTCTACACACACACACCCCAGCACACAAGAGGCCAAGGCAGTAGACTATTTGAAAATTACCAAATCAATTTAAGAGTATTTGTACCCTATTTCTACACACACACACACACACACACACCCCAAAAAACCAAACCATTCCCCCCCTTTTTGGCATATATGTCTATGTCATGTATTACAGACACACACACACATATATATACACGCTATCTCATTGGGACATAGGGTCACCAGTTAGGCCAGGCTAACTGGTAGGTGAGCCCTAGGTATCCAAGTATTTCCTTCTCCCTAGCAGTGTGATTACAAATGCATGCACCATTCCTGGCTCTTTACATGGTCTCCGAGGAACAAACCCACGTCCTTGTGCTAGTGTGGCAAGTGCTTTATGGCCTGAGGAGCTACCTCCCCAGGCAAACAAAATTCTCTGGAGAATAGTTCATTCTGATTTATCAGCCAACAACAATATCATTTGCTAATAGAAAAAAAAATATCAAAAAAAAAAATGTGAGAAGCAGAGGCAGGCAGATCTCCATGAGTTCCAGGATACCCAGGGCTGCACAGTGAGACCCTGTTGGGACCCTGGGTGGCAAGATGGTTCAGCAGATACAGGCCTCATCTCTACGGTCCATACAGTATAAGGTAGAGCACCAGTTTCTTCAGTTGCTCTTAAGCACACACATGTAATAAAAGGAGGCAAGTGCTTTCCCCACAGAACTTTTCCCTGGTTTTAGCATCAGAAGAATTTTCTAAAGACATCTTTTAGAGGACTAATGGGCATGATCCATCTCTGTAATTATAGCACCCAAGATGCTAATACAGAAGGACTACTTATCTTGAAACCATCATGGGCTCCAGAGTGAGAACCTGTATCTACAGACACATCTATTCTTCTGACAGCTGGGTCACAATATTTATGTAGCCCAGAGTGGCCTGGAATTTACCATGTAACCCAGGTTAGCCTTGAACTGTTAATCCTCCTGCTTCAGCCTCCAGTAGATAGTGACTACAGGTTTATATCAACATCCAGGGAACAGTCTTGCTTCTGACATAGTGTTGTAATCATGGAAAAAAGCATCTTTGCCAGTAAAAAATTTCTAAAAATTAGTTGCAAGAACTGACATAACACTCAAGACAGAAGTGTAAGATGGGCACCTGTGCTGACTGCTACTATTGAGTAGGGCTCAAAACCAGCCTGGGTAATAAAGCAAGACCTAATCCAGAATCAAGTAAGAGAGTCTGGTCAGTCCTCATGAATTTGAAACCCAAAGGCTGATTCCATGGGCCCTGGACAGTCACATACCGCCAAAGCATCAACACCCAAGGCTCTTAAGGCAGCCTGTGGGTACTGATGAGCCTTAGGGGAAAAGCTTCCCATTACTGGAATGTGACAGAGATGAGGGAAAGCAGCCTTATATTAGGAAGTTGTGACCCTGTTTGGACCTCTAGGGCTGAGTCAGGGGCTTCATGATGAACATGATGGAGAATCAACACAACGTGGGTAATAAACTACAGCCAGCCTGGGTTGGTTCTGGTCCACTCTGTCAACAAAAAGCATTGCCTTGCTGAGCTGTTTCTGCTTTGTGTTTCTCTGTGGGACACTGAGACCGTTCTAAGACACAGACACTTCATTATGCTTGGCATACTGCTTCACCTCAGCAAGCAAAAGCAGAAACGAAGCTG